ACAAAAGTCACAGCCTTACCTTGCAGTCAACTATAGTTCAAATCCTGCAAGAAAAGAAATTTCCTAGAAGAAATAATGTTAAAAGCAAAATAATAAAAAAGAACCATTCAGGCAACATCTTTCAGAGAGAGGGTGCTGAGACTAGATAAGAATGCAGCTTAATTCCAGAGTAGGAAATCAGCAAAGTGAGACTAAATCTGAACTCCTGCAGGGTAACAGCTGGTTCCTCCAACTGCCAGTTGAGAGGTAGGCTGTAGATGGAGTGGAAAACGAAATAATAGATTCGCTAGCAGTCTTAATGGTGACTGTCATACTCTCCCTAAGTGGCCCTTCAGAAAAAAATGGCACCTTGGTTCCAGGTTCAAGGAACAAAAGTCAACCTCCATCCCTTGTCAGAAGCCCACTGATGTTAGAATACTCTACCTTGAGAGTCAAAAACAGCTTGAGATCAAATATATTTGTTTATTTTTGCCACATTAAGACAGTATAAAAGGTACATGGCAGGAATCATAGAAGAGTTGGAAGGGGCCATGAAGGCCATTGGGTCCAACCCCCTGCTGCTGCAGGACACCCAGTTTACACCACCCCACTCAGATGGCTGTCCAGTTTTCCCTGAATGACTCTAGTGTGAAAAAGTCCACAAGCTCTCCAGGCAACTGGTTTTAATGTCGTACTGCCTATACAATGAGGAAACTTTCCTTGATATCTAGCCTGAATATGGTTTGTCTCAACTTGACTATTCAATGCCCTACACTCTGGTATCAGCAAGAAGAGATCTTGACCTGCCTCTTTGTGACTGCTTTTGAGGTACTGATAGAGGATATCATTCCCCCACCCCACCCTGGTCTTCTCTTCTCAAGGCTGAACATGCCCAGTTCTCGCAGTCTCTCTTCATAGGGCAGCGTTTCCAAACCCTGGATCATTTGCATTGCTCTCCACTGCACCCTTTTGAAAAGTTTCTGCATATTTCTTAAATATTTGTGCCCAGAACTGGACACAGCAGTCCAGATGAGTTCTGACTATTGAGGAGTACAGGAAAACCACTACTTCTCATGCTTTGGAAATAATACTTCTATTAACGCATCCCAAAATTGCATTTGCCCTTTTTCCTGCTGCATCACATTGCTGGCTCATATTTAGCCTGTTGTCCACAGTAATTCCAAGGTCTTTTCTTTTTCAGTTCTGTTGAGCCACGTATTCCCATCTTGAATTCATACAATTGGTTTCCTTTTCCTAGGTGGAAGACTTGGCACTTGTCCTTATTGAATCTCATTTTGTTGCTTTCAGCCCAGTGTTCAAGTTTATCAAGATCTCCCTGAATCTTCATTCTGTCTTCTAGGGTGTTTGCTATTCTCCCCAGTTTTGTATCGTCTGCAAATCTGATTCTTTCCTTGCACTTCCTAATCTAAACCATTAATAAAGATGTTGAAGAGCACTGGGCCCAGGACTGAACCCTGGGGCACCTCACTAGTTACCTTCATCCAACTTGAGAAGGTGCCATTGATGAGCCCTTTTTCTGTCCAATTTAGCAGCCAATTTTGGATCCATACACTGGTTGGGGAATGGCAGTGAGATGACCATTCTTCCAAGGTCACCAGGCTTCACTAAGAAAAAAGCTTTAACAAGGTTCTTAATCATTTTAACTCTTTACTCCTGCATCTATTCTAATTTTTTGCAAATTTCTTACAGAAAGCCACTTTGTCTTTCGGTATGTAAAGCTGCTATCCATTCTCCATGTTTGGGTAGTCAATCAGTACCTGCTGTATTATATGCCAATGATCTCACCTTACTTTCCAGAACTCAGATCAGCTTAAAATGTGCTGTTAAAGCCTTTGTCTATTGCAATAAAAATTACTAGAAATAAATGAAGATAAATTTAAAATTATGATATTTACCAATGCAACAAGTTGATGCAATTTTTTAAAAATGGAAGATTGGGGCATATAAATTACAACAGGTTAACAAGCTTAGATAACTTGGAATAGTACTCCAACCAAATTTAACATGGCTTAAGCATGTTAAATATTTTGAGGACAAAGTCAAATTAAGCTTATTAGCCTTGAAAAGGTTTATATATTCAAGGAGCCCAATACGTGCCAGCTCTGTTGAAGTTATATAAACTCTGGTGCTACCTCATCTGTTAGATCAGGGGTGTCCAAACTTTTTGCAAGGAGGGCCAGATTTGGTGAGGTGAAAATGTGTGGGGGGCCGACCATTCAGCCTGACATTCTTTGAACCATTAACATTAAATGCAAATGAACTATTTTATGAAAGACTAAACAAATAACTTAACTGCACTAATGTGAAGGGTGATACTGAGATCTCGACTACATTATATAGGCCAGGTCTGGCTCAAAAACAGTGGTTTTGATGCGCAAGATGTCACGCATGTGAAAGTCACTTAGTCTCGTCCTCACATGGTTCTTGTTAATGTCCATAACCGAGAATGTCTTCTCGCACAAGTATGTCGAACCAAACAAGCTCAGCATTTTCTTAACAATTGTTCGAATCCCTTGGAACCTGTCTTTATCCAGCTGGCAGTAAAAGTTGACAAGAGGGAGCTGTTGGTGCCGACTGCGACACTTGGCGTCACACTGCAGCTCAATGAGCTCCAGCTGCAGGTGGTCTGGAGCGTCATCAGGGTCCACAGAGAAAGGAGATGAAAAAAGTGTGATCTCTTTTTCAATAGCTGCAAAATCCCGAAAGCGCTGTTGAAACTCCTCAGCCAGAGATGAGATGTCTGCTTCATACCTCCTTATTTGCGCACTCATATTGTTCTGTGGAAAACTGGTCATTATTTCCTGCAGCGATGGGAAATGTGTGGTATTGGGCTGTGTTTGTGACAGGTGCCTTTGAAAAAGTAGCAGCTTGGTCCCACAGGCTTTGATATGTGAATACAGTTGGCTTACCACTGCATTTTGCCCCTGAAGGCTCGTGTTCAGCACGTTCAGATGTCGTGTTATGTCAACTAAAAATCCAAAATCAGCCAGCCAAACAGGATCAGATAGCTCTGGCATCGGTTGTCCCTTTTTGGCTAAGAATTGTCCTATTTCCTCCCTAAGAGAGTAGAAGCGCTGCAGTGCAGACCCCCGACTGAGCCATCTTACCTTGTTGTGATACACAACATTCAGCCTGGATGTTGAGTAGAAACTGTTGAAACTGGTGGTGGCACAGGGCTTTGGAGCGAATATAATTAATAGCCTTCATCACCGGTTTCATAACATGATCATATTTCAGATGTTTGGCACAGAGAACTTGTTGGTGAATAATACAGTGGAGTTTTATAGCTTTGCCTCCTTCTTCGCTGACTTTGTTACAGACTAGGGTTGATAATCCACTTTGCTGGTGCGCCATCCGTAATAATCCCAGTGACTTTATTCCACAGTAGTTTCATGTCATCTACGGCGGAACAAACAGAAACAAATAAATCTGTTCCTCTTGTTTGGTCCTTAAGGCTCTGGAGGTCAAGTAGCTCTTCACTCACGTTCATGTCATTGTCCACTCCTCTCAAAAAAATCAATAACTGAGCGGTGTCAGATGCATCCGTGCTTTCGTTGCTGGCTAACGAAAAAAAGTCAAACTCCACTCCTTTTGCCTCTGTCTCTTAATATCAGATGAAACGTCTTAAATTCTCCATACCACAGTGTTACGAGCCAGGCAAACATTGGCAAACTCTTGCTTCTTCTCAGGACAAATTTTCTCCACCATTTTCATCACGCAGTCTTTAATAAATTCACCCTCAGTAAAAGGTTTGCAGTGCTTGGCAATCAGCGTTGCCACCTTGTAGCTCGCCTTCATGGCATTTTCATTTGACTCACGGGCTCTTGTGAAAAAGTGCTGCTGTGTTGTTAAAACCGCTTCCAGTTCCTTCAATTTTTCGCCGCGTTCGTTCCCAGTTAGCTTGTTGTAGTTAGCATGTTTCGTCTGGTAGTGCCTCTTGATATTGAATTCCTTGAAAACAGCCACAGTCTCTTGGTAAATTAGGCAGACACAGTTGTTTCATATTTCAGTGAAAAAATACTCCGATTTCCACTTGTCCTGGAAGCGGCGGCCCTCGCTGTCAACTTTCCTTTTTGTAGTTACAGTCGCCATTTTAGAAATGGGCACAGAAGCCTTATGTCACAAGGGTCACGTGGCGAGAGTGCTAAGGTCTACTGCCATCCTCTGGTGAAATATAACCACCAGCCTTGAAGGAGAAGGAGGCAGCAGGGGACAGCTGCGGGAACCACTGTGCAATGAAGGGAAAAATGCTGGCCAGCAGAGATGAGTGACAGGCTGAGCCGGCGGGGAGAAGAGGCTGCGGGCTGCTTGAAATTTGAAAACGGGACGCAATTGGACCCCGGGCTGGACTTTGGACGTGCCTGTGTTAGATGGATGCCGGATCTTGTTTTCCAGCCGACTAGAGCAACTTGAAAAGCTCCAACAAGCCTTTTCTCTCTGTAAATTTCTAATTTTTCCACCCTGTTTCACCACTGCAATGATACAGCTTGAACTAGGGCTCCCCAAAAAGTTGAGCTTTGATTTGGAAGACCGTAATTAATTTTAAATGTTGATATTAAATGCTGAAGAACATCCACCTTTCATTACATCGGCAGTACAACAGCATTGCTGGTTGAAGTGGATGTGGTAGAAACGAAAATAAGCAAGCTGGGCTTATGGAAAAAGGAAAATCTAAATTTACAAAAGCAGAAGCTACTTATAGAAAAATTGCTTAAGGAAGACTGGGACTCCCTTCAAGAAACCAATAGGCATAAATGTTCCCCTCTACATCTGGGATGTACCCCACCATATTTGATCTGCCTCTTTAACATATTGGCAGTTCCCAAGCTGAGACAATCTTATATGGTAGCGCATAGTAACACACTTCCAGCTGTCCACATGAGGGGCCAATTTCTTAAAATAACCCTGAATGAACACTATTGTAACTGCCCCTTGTCAGAGCTTGATACACCTTTTCACATTTCATTGCCCAAAACATGAACAGGTAAGGTTTTTTAAAAAAGAAATACCTGTTGAAATATTCAACCCTTCCTAATGTTGCAAGGCTCAAACTTTCTGAGCAGTTTTTGTAAAAACTGTATTTTAGATGTGGCAAATTTTTGTAATAATGTGATTTTAAATTCTTAAATTATGGTGTATGTATGGCCTATGGGCTATTAAAACAAATGAACTTGCACTTGATTTATTTTCTATTTGTCATTTCCACAAGAAAGATCTTCCTCAAACATGGGGGCAAGAGGATCCTTTTTAGATACTCTCAAAATATAAAGGCTATTCTTGTACAAACATCCCCGGACATATTTCACTGAAACACAGCAGGCTTAATTTGCAGAGTAATCACAACCATCCCTACAAATTTAAATTCAGTTCTGCCAATCTGTCATATTTATTGTTGCTTTTATTCTATTGCTCTAATAGTATTGGCTACTGTTTTATTCTTTTATATCCCAATTGTACTTTTTATAAACAACCTTCATAATTTTATACTGAAGAATATGGAAACCTGAGGAATAAATAAAACAAAGTATGTCCCTAGCAAATATCATTTCATGCAACGGTTAGGGATCACAGGGAGCTTCCCCAAGAAAACTCCTCCTTATAAATAAAAAAGGGTGAAAGTTAGGGCAGCAGTGCCTAACAGATTATATAATATTTTCAGGGCAAAACCCTGTTACGATGTCCATAAGCCCTTATACTCAGAGTCACAATCATCCTTCGCAGAGTAGGATGAACAGACGATGCAAACTCCACCTGTCCTATTTTGCTAAATAGGTTTTTTTACCTGTTATCTGGGCAGATGGAATCATAGAAACAGAGCAAGTCAGAAGGTGTCTCCTGGGCCATCTAGTCTGACCCCTGGCTTCAGCCAGCTCCGCTCATGACATGCCCACCATGTGCATGTCTAGCCTATCTTTGAACACCCTCACCAATGGGGCCTCAACCACCTCCAATGGAAGCCCATTCCATACCCTCGGGGTCCTGTCCGAGGCTTCACAGTAATTCATACCTCAACCTCTCCAGATTGCTGGAACATCTTCAATGCTCCTTCTCTGAGAATGCTTTCCTGATCTTGGAGTGCAGCCGGTGGCCCTTCTGTATCAGCTGAGAGCTCTGATTCCCAGCTCAAGGTTGGAGCAGTATCTCCTACCTTAGATCTTGGAATATGAACTATCTTGTGATTCCTCGGATATTGTCAAGGAGCCATTAGATTGCTTTCTCTGTGCTGCTTGCCTCACAAAGTAGCAAGCTGCCGGGCTGGCTAAATATAAGAATGCAGCTAATTGATTAGTTCACATGTATGGAACCACACAGGCTGTCATTTGTTAAAATACTAACTAGGCATAAAGGCAACTGGGCAAGAAGGGCTGTTGAACTGTTTCGGTTCATCCTTTGCAAATTACTTTCTTTCAATGGATTTATGCAGCCAATAACCCCAGTGGACTTGTGCCCAGAGTTACCTGCCATTTTCCATCCCAGGTTGCATTTAAAAATCTATATATATTTTTTTAAATATTTTTGCCACCAAACCAGTTAAAAAGTCTGGCACTATAAATTTCATCGTTTTCCTCTAATTTGTTAGCAAGAAGGCTCAAAATAACTGGAGGAAATGCACAATACACAAATATAAGATGCAGAACCTTCCTGCAGAAAATGTCAGGCATGGATTGCAAAGTGTGTATCAAGTGGATTAAAACTGGGCTGTCCCTTTTAAGATTTTGCTATGGATTTTGTTATTTTAGTTTATCTGTTGCAATTTTTACCCACATTTTTCCTCATCTATTGTACTATCATACAATATCAGGTACTACGTAGCACTTTGTCATACATCAACTGAGGTAAAATTTTTGAGACAATTCCCTTTATCCCCCTCCAACCAAAGCACAGATTGACTCAACTCTTCCTAACTCTATTATTACACAAGTAGGCAGCAGAGGGGGGAAAAAGCGGGATTTCATGTAAGCCTTATTATTTCCTCTGTTAAACAATACAATTAACAGGAAGTTTTTCTATTTTTAGAATGTTACATATTCTGAAATAAAACACTTTATTGTTCCACAAATGCAAGCTAGGAAAGAAAAGGACAATTCTTCAAGAAGAATAGTAAAATAAATTATTTTTCAAGCCTTATGAATAAAACTTTGTAGCTAAAAATGGAAAAAGACATATCCTTAAAAAAACAACAGTTAAAATAGAACACGATCCAAATGAGCAGAATTCATTCTTCCATCCGTTCGTTTACTTGAAACTAGGCTAGGTCTCCATGGGCTATGATCAAAGTTATTAATTGTACACCATTGCTTTCATAGACTCCACTTATTTCCTTATGTCTTCCGTCTCCTCCAGTTCTCTCTCCTGATGCTCTCTTTCCCACCTCATTTCTTTAAGCTCTTGTCTGTACTTCCGTTCAATGAACCGTTTCTGATGGGCCATCTGAGGAAAGTTATCTGAGACAAGAATAAATGTTTCATATGTTAAATAAAAGCCAACTGGTGGTGCAAAGAAATGCTCCTGGTGTTATTATTTTATTACACAATATAAGAAACATGTCATTTCATTATTTATTACATTTATTTACTTTTATTACAATGTACATCCAAAGGTACATTGGGTTATCCCACTTTATCCTCACAGCAGTCCTGTCAGGGTGAGAATGTGTCATTTGTACAAGGCTTCTCAATGAAATTCATGGCTGAAGAGGGAGGCAAACAGAAATCTTCCCCATCACTCACTATGCCAGAGTACTGAAGCCTTCCCTTCAAAGTTGCAGAAGGATTTCAATCTCACTTCCTATGTGATGTGATGCTTTCCAATTTCAATATATCTTGCAACCTCATTCTAAGAGGTGCTACAACAATTTTTTAAAAATGTTTTTCTCAGTCAGCCCAAATTGAGTGGAAAAGTGCTTGAGCTTACACCAGGTATATGAAGAGATGGGACATGTTTATCTCAAGACACAGCATGCACAATTAGAAAGCTCAGATTCAAAATGCCAACTCTATGCTGAAGGAGAAGGGTTGGGGTGCGGCACAGAAATGCCAAGGTTAATGTGCAAGCTTTGTCAGACAGCTGCAGAGAACCAAACTGCCTTGGGTTTGGAGGAGACCTTGTAGAACAGGGAGAATCTGAAAAGGGGTATTAATATTATTACATTGCATTTATATTTTTCCTGATGTGAATTCATTAACTCAGTGAGCCATTTGAGGTTACAATTAAGTAACCTGTGGCGTTTCTGCCATCTGGTCTGCAAGCAGGGCAAACCTCCATGAGGGTGGAGTCAAACCTTTTTTTGGGGGGGGGGCTCTTTGGTATGGAGTCAACTCTTCCACAGACTGGAGGGGAAATGACTCTGATGGATGCTGAGAACAATCTTCCAATGAAACACCCTGATTCACAAAAACCTCCCCAGATCAAAACACAAGACAGTACTTTCAATGCCTTCCAGGAAGATCTTCTGGGAAAGGGAGAGACACATGCATGGCAGTCCAGGGCTGGGCCACCAGTTGCCCAACAATGCAGGTGGATATGGAGGTACAAATATTTCAGGTTGGAGGGCAAGACACTGATGTCCTGAACTGCTTACAGTTCACTTGTGCCTATTTATGACAAATGAAAATGCAAGCCAAAGAGTATCACTGACGGTTGGAAGATGAAGCAAGACTAAATAAAACATCTGAAAAAAACACAAAAACCAAACTGCCAGTAGCAAGCAGGTCTAACCAAAAGAACTGGGCCCAAATCGACTGAGTTTATTTATCTTCTACTCCACTGAACTGACCTGTGAAAGCTGTAACTAATGTTTCCCAATGACAGCAAAAGGACATGAGTAAAGTCAGTTACATGGGAGCCATTTATCTCAACCTTGTTGTTTTTAACCTTGTTAGAAGGCATCCTTCTATTTCTAAGGTCAAGGCACACCTTATGGGAGTTGCCATCACTGATTTGACACTCATTAAATACCATATAATGAAGATATCCACAGAGAGAACTGACTCATTTAGGAAAGTTATTTTAAATTTATGTTGGTTTTTTCTTTCAGGAAACCTCAGGTTAGTGCAACAGATGCAACAAATTTGCCAGTGCTTGAATGTTTGGGACACTGTTGGAAGAGTCTAAAAACACCACCACAGCAACCAACTCTAGTCATTATTTATGGCTGAACACCTGGTCCCTACAAGCTCCTCTTTCCATATAGTTTGGCTTAGTAAAAACAAAAGAAAACAACAAAGCAAGACAAGCCGTTGTTCAAGAGTTGTACAAATCCACAGGTGCATCTCCAGTTAGTTACTGCTCCTGGCTCCTCCAATTCTACTTTTGGAAAGTGAAATGGCCTCGCAGTGACTATGGACAAAAGGAATAGAAGTGCCGTGGTATGGCCAGTAACGTCCATGCAAACACATCTCTTGACTCCTGCCAGGCTCCTGGCACTTCCTGATTTTCATTTTATGTTTTTAACTAGAAGGCTGGCATGTTGCAAAGCGAGCAAAAGCCTTCCTGCAACATTTCTATTTGGGTTTAAAAGAGTGTTTTTGCAGCTCAGAGCCCAAAGCACTTCTCTTGATAACCTCACCAGTTTGCCTTGAGAAGACGGTGTTTTGTGACTGGCCATGTCGATCATTTTGTGAAATGGTTCAGGATCCCGACGCACCCATACAGCTAACCACCCGATTCCTGTCAGGTAAGCTGCCCTGGACTTAAAAAGGATCAACTGATTTCTATCAAGCTTTGGTATTGTTTTTTGTTTGGGTGGTTTTTTTAAAAGAAGCACTAACTTGGGCCTGGCGATGTATGTTAGCATTTGAAATAGTATGTGAAGTACCTGTTCAGTAATTTTTGAGCCCTTGCCATGTGACATTTCAGGGGCAGGGGAGGAAATATTATGGAAGATCGGTAATGTATCCCATAATAATGAACTATGCTGGGAAAGTCTCGCTAGTCTGACAAGCTATCATTTTTCATCAAGGACGAGAAGGGCTCCATCTGGAGCTAATCAAGATAATCTTCCCCATTACCACCATAATGGGCATCAGAGGGCGGGTGGAGGAGCTGTGAAGCTCTTAAAAACCAATGAATGCAATCTAGAAGCCAATGACAGTTCATAGAAGCTCAGCAGAAGTGGAACAAAATAAGGAAAAGAAACGTATCATCAATGGTGGTGATGCCAGGTGGAAGGTCACCAATGAAAGCATTGCCTGTATTGGACTTGGTGCCAGAAGACAAATTGCTATTTGAGATTGACTAGCTAGTGCTGATGCTGAAACAGCTGGTGTCCTTGGGAAAAAATGAGGCTTCATGGCAATGCGTAGGAAGCACAGCTGATGCAAGTGGTTTAAGAGGAAACTTGAGCAAAGAGCTCAAACACTTCTGAACTGTAGGCCATCTCTATAAGTAAACAACCTCACCAAAACTCTGCATGGTTCTTTGTGGGGCAGAAACGGTGACTGAAAAGACAGAGGCCCTGCTGAGAAGCCCTGTGCAATCTGCCCGGAGTCTCACTTCAAAGTGTTGAAGATGTTTCCAGCAAGTCAGAGAGCCCTTCTCAACCTGGTGCCCTCTAGATGTTTTGGCCTACAATTACCATTAGCCAGAACCAGCATGGCCAACAATCAGGGTGATGGGAGCTGTAGTCCTATCCTTCTGGAGAGCTCAGCATTAGTGAAGGCTGAAGCTTCCATCACACAAGCAAAAGCCCTTCTGTGGAAAGCGTCACCTGTCACAGCCAGTCCCGTCTGTTGTGTTCAGGGGCATATTCCCTTTACTGAGGCTGACATTGAATCAACTCTCCCCCACTGTGCTTCCTGCAGCATCACTTCCAACCCTGGCCAATCCTCCAATGCACTGCTGACATACACAACTGATTTAAGAACATCTTGAAAACCCTGCACATGAGAATGTTACTCTTATTTCCTCCATGGAACTTAGATAAATTTTGAGAAGCTCTGACTTTGCTCTGAGAGTGCAGGCAGAGGAAGGAGTTAAGGATGATGCCCCAGAGCAGGGCTTTGGTATCAGAACTCCATATCCATACAAGAAAGGAAATAACCGACTTGAGAACAAGCAAAACGCAGGGCACCTCTCAAGAGCACACATTTTAAATGCATGTGTTTTCAAAAAGCATAGCAGGAAATTATTCCTTTAAAGACAGGGCCTGAGGATTACTGGTTGTTCGGCTGATGTAAGCAGATGAGCTCAACTCGGATAGATAAAGTAAGGCAACCTCTGCCAGAGACGTCAATGAGACAGAGAATTATCTGGGGTTGCAACACAAAGATTTAAGTTCTTGTTTGGCAGCAGCTTGTGGGTTTTGCAATCAATCCTGCAAGGTGAGCACTTTGGCCCCCATCTAACAGAGCACTGACTTCATTTTAATCACCATGCCTCCATCATGAATGTCAGTGGAATGACTCATGTGCCTGAATTTAAGCACTGGCTTAAGTGCTTCGCTGGACCAAGGCCAGAGAGCCTGGTGCTTCACTTGACTGAGTCCTCGACACCTGGTCTGAAATATTGCAAATGCTTCCGAGGAATTACGCTTGACTTTTTGTTTTTTGAAAGGGAGAATGCTAGAAAGGAAGGTAACACAGACTGTAAGTTTTAGCTGAACCTGTAAGGTGCAGTACATGGCAACCCTTCCCAACCAGGAGTCCACCAGATGCACCATACTACAACTCCCATCATGCTCTGCCAGCATGGTCAACAACCATGCTGACTCTTGGTTTGATGCTGTAGTCCAACACAACTGGGGAACACCAGTTTGAGGATCAAAGCCATGCTTGCTCATCATCATCCCATCCCCAGGCGTGCCCACTCCTGTCCTGGGCCTGCCCGACTGGTACACGGCAAAGCTGCTCCACCTTTTTCAGCCCAAATGCCAAATTCCATTTGGAAGGTCTCCGGAAGGCCTCATTCCAGTGGGGAGCAAGATCAGAGGCAAAACCAGGCAAGACAAAAAGCCCAAAATAATCTAGCTTAACACTTTCATTGGCAGTAATTAATATGGTTATGATTATTACATTGCACTTATATCCCATCTTTTTCCTCTTGTGAGCACGCCAGATGCCTTACATAGTCCTCTTCCACTCCATTTTATCCTCACAACAACAACCCTGTGAGGTAGGTTAGCCTGAAAGGCTATGATCGCCCAAAGTCACCCAGTGAGCTTCATGGCTGAGTGGAAACTAGAACCTGGATCTCTCAGATTCCCACGTCCAACCACACGTCAACCATTCAGAATGAGGGAAAAGGCGGCACAGAACCCCGTGAAACTACCTATTGGTGGGTGACTGAGGTAAGGGGATGTGTAACGCTCTGGGGAGCTTTGGAGCACAGAACGGGAATGCAGAAGCCTTGAATATGGCCCTTGGCTCTGCCCTCTGGAATAAGCCTACACTTGTAAAGCTCAGATGACTTCTACACTCCAATTTTGTGCTGCCTGCAATGTTCTACCCAGACCTAAATGTTTTAGGCCAACCCCTATGCAGATCTGGCATCCAGTATCTGCCTGTGCCTGCGTGTCAGGATGCCCACCCTGCAGTGACACATGATGCCCTCACCAGGTGCAGTTTTCCAATATCTGTACTTATTCCAGAGAGAAAGCAAACCCCTTTTCAAGCTCTGTTAAAACACAGCTCACATAGAGCATTATATGCATTTAGAAATAGTATATCATTAAATGATACTGTTTGCAAATAATAGATGACATTTCCCCGTATCTTCTTGTCCATTTTGCCCACATGACGAAGTAAAGCAGCCTTCCCCAATCTGATGTCCATCAAACGTTAACTTGCTTTATTATAATTTTAATCCATCCAACAACAAACTAGTGGATTATTAAAAGAATAAATGCATTAAAATAGTTTTGCACTGGCCATTCTGGAGCACACCAGGCTGAGGAAGGCAGATTCAAATCCCTGCCCGGAGTCTTGAGATTCATAGAAAAACTAGAGACGACTGTGCCCTTTTCAGTCTGAGATTTGGTTATAAAGGAGTGGCACCTGGTTTTGGTGCCTATCAATTCCATTGTTCATTTCCCACGACACCACTTAGCACCACTTGTTTTGTCGAGGAAAATCTTGTCGTTGTGAACTAACAATACAGTGATTGAACCATCTAGTAGGCTACTTAAAAGCAAATATTGATTAAAGAAGAGTTCTAAGCCAACATGTGTAGAAATACAAGCATATGTTGTAAACTAAATATGTTACGCAAAGCTACTTTACAATTTATTTGCTAGATTTATATCCCACTTTTTTTTCTTACAAAGAACTAAGAGCAACTTACCACATTCTCTTCCCGCTGCTCTCAATCTTATCCCCATAACAACTTGAGAGTTAGATTGGCCCAAAGTCACCCAGCTGGCTCCATGACTGAGCAGGGAGCAGAGCCCAGATCGCCTGAGTCCCAGTCCTGTGCTCTCAGCCACTCACCACACTGACGCTGGACAACTTTGTGACAGTATAAGCAGAACCTTCTGACATATTCCACACCACCAGACTAGGGAAACCCAGAAGTTGAATATGTGCAGGTATTTTGGTTCATTTCTCTTCTGCCTACAGTAGGGATACACATGAGTCTGAGGTCTGCTGATGACCCTAAAGAATTCAGAAGTGGATTGTTGTTTGAGCAGGACCATGTATCTAAATGATTCAGGGACCAAGACCAATGCTGCAATGCCGAACATGCTTAATTACTACGGGGAGGGGGAAGGGGGACCTATTCATTATAATGGGACTTGTTTCCAAGTAAATGTACAACGGGTAATGGTACATACATCTAAGACCAAGCTGCTCTAGAGATTACTGAATTTTTGCTTTAAAATTATCCAAGAGCAATAAGAATGGGAATGAGAGGAAGCTGGTGACCATCTGCCCCTTGCATTCGTATTTTGCACTCCCTCTCTGTCATACACGATGCCTGAACCTGCCTCTGCCCATCACATGAAATAATCTGAAACAGTTTCCAAGAAATCATCTTACATTTTTCCAGTGCATCCATTGCTGCACACATCTCCGCTTGCTGAATGCTGTTAAAAAGGGGGGAAAAGCAAAGAAAAAGTAATCATGGTAAATGTATTTATGGGGTAAATGACAGCTTCCCAGAAGCAACTACTCTGATTGCTCTGTTGAGACCAATTCTTCAAATAATCATTAGGTGGTTGTTCCCATAAAAACCTTTGCACACAAACAGCCATCCTCCAACAGGATTGTTTTAAAATTTAAATCAATACTATTAAGCTACCCCCCATCATAATTCTTTCGTGAGTAATTTTAATGAAAAGATTAACACACAACCCCCCACCCTCATTTTTGCATTGCTAGAAAATGGATGGCAACATTACAGCACACTTTCCTCTCTAATATTTTATTAGGCATTATTTATCTTATTCTTAAAATCAGTGTGGGCACAGGGATGATCAATGATGAGTGGGAAACTCTTTACATATTATTATACAGTTGGCACTTTCAGTGTACAGAATCCTTTACAGTGCTTTGATCATTTATCTTCACAAACATATGAAGGAGATTTTCCATTGTTATTTTTCCATTAAATGAAAAGTCAAACTGGCAAAAACGAATTTCTCCAAAGGTTGTTTAGAAATACCATGACTGAACTAGAATTTGAATCCAGATCCTGCACATCCAAAGCTCTAAACACAGAATTAGGGAGGGTGTGAATGAGTTCATCCAACAGAACCCAGAGTATGGGCTGTCATTGACTCATGGCTTGTGTGAATTCAGCTGTGCTAGCAACCCATGGTTCATTAACCATGAATAATGTGGAATCATAATCAAGGAACAAACCATGGGTTCTCTCTGTGGGTTGTTTTTAGTTACCCATCCATGGTTTGCTAACATGGCCGGGTTCATGCAACCACCGATGGATCAACGGCAATCCATACTCAACCCATACTCTGGGTTGTCATGTTGTGCGCACAGAGTCCATGATTTCTTACAACTTCTTTCAGCAGGCTACAGATGTAAGCTGGAGGGAGGAGGAATGGGGGTCTCTAAAACATCCTTACAGCATCCTTACAAATAATTATTCTTATACTTTAGCGATGAAGAAGGGTTGATAAACAGATAAAGTGGTATAAAACTGATATATGTTTGTAGCATGGGTAGGTAGATTCATGTAACAGTGAAGACAGTTGCTACATAAATGACATCATGTGCCTTCAGTTCACATTAGACTGGGTTCCAGAAGGCACTAACACAAATTATTCTGCTGCCGATGTATTCAAGAGCATTACAGAAGCTGCTTCTCCATGGTCTGGTCTCATGCTCCTACCATCATGCTCTGGTATGGGCCAGAAGAGTAGCCACCAGTATAGTCATGGCTCAGGTTGTGGGGCCCTTATGATGCCCCACCTGGAATGTCATTGCACATTGACCAGGCACAGTTGTGTAGAGCAGAGGCTAAAGCAGCAGCAAGGCAGCAAACAGGAAGGGTCCCGAAGAATCTCAGAGGCGACACAGCTCCACAGCATGAAAGACATAAACTGCAAAATGCAACTGGGAAATGACAACATGTAAGGAGCTACAGTGCCTGGGCCAGGGGTTGGCAACCTGCGGCTCTGGAGCCACACGTGGCTCTTGAACCCCTCTGCTGCGGCTCCGTCACTCAAAACACGCGCTGGCACAGCCGCTGATCTGCTCTAAGCTCCACTCAGGAATGGAGCGTTAACTAACGGCTAGCTAATTAAGTAAATCAGCTAGTTAAGTAAATCGCTACATTCCTCTGCTAAACAAGCTTCCTGAAGGCTCTCATGTTACAGGAAACGCTGCTGAAAGGATTCTCTTTGTCCCAATGTAATCTCCTTCATCTGAATGTTAAAGGCTGTGCTTGGGACCTGTCACAATTCACAGGCTTGACTGTTTATCTGCTAATCAGTCACTAAACACACCTATATCTCTGGCACTGCCACTGAGCTGTGGATCCGAACCAATTTCCTGAGCTCCCCCACCCCATAGGCCAACCATGGATAAATCTAAGAAAAGAAATGTTTCTGAAGAAAACCAAACATTTAACAATATGCGGGTAGATTCATTTGCTTTTACTGCTGACGAACTTATGGGGTTTGCTGTTTAATGCATGCAGCTCTTTAGCACTGACTTTGACTCTTCAGGAAGCTGTTCTCCTATTCAAAATATATGAAAAGAGTCCTACTAGTTTATAATGTAAGGTTAAAAATAACAGTTTTTAGTGACTGAACAAGAGCTGCAGCTAAATCGTAATGAAGATATACATAGCATTAAGGTAAAAACGATATATGCAGTGTTATTTCCACTTTAGATGCCAAAAGGGTTTTGCGGCTCCCGGTGTTTTCTTTCCTGTGGGAAACAGGTCCAAATGGCTCTTTGAGTGCTAAAGGTTGCCGACCCCTGGCCTGGGCAAATGAAAAGCATGTTGCCTGCCACCAGCGGCTCAAGGAAGGTGCTAGACAGAGCTCTCTAGGGAGTACATTCTGCAATTGAGGAGGAATGGGCCCTACTGGAAAAGGCTGCTCAAATCTCAGTATGTGGGTTCAGTCAGAGCTGATAATCTTGGGGCCCAAGCAGACCTGCTATCTTCCCAGTCTTGCACTTGCTGCTGCTGCTATGTGCCATCAAGTTGTTTCTGACTTATGAATGCATACTTTCCAAAATGTCCTGCCCATGACACCTCTGCTCAGCTCAGTTCAAGGCTGTGGTTTCCTTTATGGAGTCCATCCATCTTAGCTCATTTCTTGGGCTTAAGAACCTCAGAACTACACTGAGAATCAACATGCCATTCCTTGGCTTCCTGGATCCCAGGAGAGGCATGAGGGGTAAGCAGTAGGACATTCACTCAGCATTCACTTTCTTGTGGAGCGCCATCTAATATGCCAAGGATCATCCTGCAACTCCAAGCCACTCTGGTAAAATATATACATTTATATATATTTTTTTTAAAAAAGTCACCATACCTTGGTCCTTTGCCGCATCCTATTCTTTCACCTTTGAAATAAACAGCTACAGTGTACGTTCTGGCATGAGAAGGTCCGACGGTTTGCAGAGTCCTAAATCACAAGAGGTACACACACTTCTGCAATTGGAGTTATTCAGACCTCTTAACATAAACAGTGCCATGCTTACAAAGATTATTGCAGGACTGCAGATGGACAGAGCTTTATAGATTATTTTACAAAATGCTGCCAACATGTCACTGGTATAAAAGTGATGTATTCATCTATTCTTAGAGTAGAATTGTCTGCATTTACACTTTTTGCCAAACCGGGATCATCAGGACAGAAATATAAGGGGCTATGAAAAATGCTGTCACTCTAAATGGCAAAGACTGCAAATTGCTCCATCACTAACAGAAAGTTACCGGATCTGTCACTAAGTAGGCAGCTTTTCCATTTGATGAAGAGTTTGATATAAATCTGCAACCATTTTAAGATAAGATACAATTTCTTAGACAAACAATAAATTTGTTTCTCTTTCCCATCGATCCCTCCTATCTGCCTTCACCATTGCCCTGGGAATTACTTTTAGAATTAGTATCAGCATCAGCAACAAGGTATATTTTAGAAGTTCTACATGGATGAAGATACTCCCTAACCTAGAAGTAAATTCCACTGAACTCAACTGTGCCTTATTTCTGTGTCAATGCAGATAGGAGAGCTCTGTTCAAGTTTAATGGAGAAAGTGCATGTGTATACGCAATTCAAGCCAAGCAAAGAGCCTAACCAGAATTACATACTTTTCTATGCTAAATAATTTGCATGTAAGGAGCATATTCCTGTGCAACACAGTAGGGATTTTGTATTCATTTATGCAAGTTCCAAGTTTTCTTCCACCCAAAGACAGCTTAGGACAAGGAGATGCTAGTGAAGATGCAGGTGTGAGAACTATTTGGATAAGAAGAGAGTAATTCTCAGGATCTGGGGTCAGCAAGAGCCTGGAATGGTTTAACCTTTGCCCTCATGATGCCCTTGAGCACTCCTGTCTATTTCTTTAAATAGGTGAACAGGTGCCACCCCCATCTAGGGGAACAGGAAAATGTCACTACTTGGGGATCCTGCTGGAAGGCCAAACCTCCCTTGCGCCCCAGCTCTGATATCCCAGAGCAAACTGATTGGAATCCTGCTGGAATGGTGGATCTGTTGTTTTGTGTCTCTGAACATTGGCACCCTTTAAAGGTTCCTGAAGTATAGAAACCTTTCCTCCCTACACACTGGAGCAACAAATACAGGCAAGTACACCCCAGTGCCTGTCCTGTGCACAACCATTTCGCTAGATACAAAGGAAATTCTCCATTTCATTCCTGGTTGAATTCAAGCATGGCAGAAATGGAGAGGTAGTGTGGAAGGGCACGTGTGCACTGCTGTCCTTTTCTACCTCTACCCCTGCCTGATCTTCCACTGTGCAGACAGCTTAACTCTGCCCTCCCTCCCCCACTTTCTCTTCCAGCTCTAGAATGCCTACTTGCAGCATTCTACACCTTGGGGTCTTTCAGCCCAAGGGCCAAATTCTATCCTGCTGGCATGGCTGGGGGCCATATTCCACTGATGCACATGGCTGAAGGCAAAGGAACAGGACAAAAATTTTTAAAAATGGCTGTATATTTTAGCTTAAACCTCTGTAGCAGCCTTCCTCAACCTGGTGGCCTTCAGAGGCATTTAGACTGCAACTCCCAGAATCCTCATCCAACAGGGTCATTGCCTGGGAATTCTGGGTATTGTAGTCCAAACATATCTGGAAGGCACAAGGTTAGGAAAGGCTGCTCTACAGTCTTAGGAGAGGCATTTCAAAGTATTAGAACAATGGGCAGAAATGCACAGAAGCTGGGAAGCTACTCAATATGAGGTGATTTTGGGGAAGGGAATGTGGAAACCCAGAAGGAATAGATTTGGTCTCTGGGCCTCAAGCTGTACACACCTTTTCAGCAAGCACAATATTTCTTGCATGAACAACTATCTTCACCACCAATGCCAAAAGACTTGGAGGAACTGCTCACTGCACATACTGGAAATATTGGCAGTACTTCAGCAGAAATCTGCAACCCCTCAACATGTAATGAATGAACGGAGGCAGTGACAATACCATGTATGTGAGCAAACTGAACTTTACCTGTAGGGATAAAACTATCAATGCTTTCCTCTATTTAAAGCTGTCACACCTTGCATATGCAGCAAGCTCATGCCTACTTTTGCTTTGGTTTAAAGAGAACTCCAGATCCAAAAGAGAAAGCATGGCTCTGTTTGTGAAGCACAAACTCATTTCTCCCTTAAACAAATGCTTGATCCAAGTCATACGGAAAGAAGAGACAAAAAATAAATGCCAAGTGTAGAGCTGATAGTAAGAGGTTGGCTCCCAAAACAATAATTAGTCTATGCAAGGAAGAAAAGACAGAGTATTTACTTATACAGAGGAATGTCAGGCTCCTTCCCTTCCGTTCGGAGAGTTAAACAGCATTGCTGGAGCTGAGATTTTGGATCGTTCCAGTCCTGGTTTAAAATGAATTCCTAAGATGACAGATAACAACATGCTTAAACTGGAGAAAGTGATACAGGGTACTACTTCTGCACTAAAATAGAAACCTTGATATGAGACATTGCTTTGATATGAGAAGAAATAATGCTTAGGAACCCACACTGTAACAGACCCACAACCTCGCCCAACTTGTTGCTGTCCAGATGTGCTAGACTGCAACATGCTGGCTGAAAATGATAGGAGTTGCATTCCAGGGCAGCTGGAGTGCACCAGGATAGGAAAGGTTGTGCTTCTGTTACATTTCCTTCGGGTTCCTAAGCGGTACTGCATACATGATCAGCTGAACCCCTTGCAGAGTGCATCCTCCATGCCAAACACAGGTTGGCCATTAAGTAATGGCTGAAATGACTCGCCTTCAGTCGTGGAAAAAAGCAGACGTTCATGAAGGTGTGGACATATTCCAGATCCTTATCTATATACAGAGCAGCAATAAAAGCTGGGGAAAAGAAACAACAATCAGCAAACATAGCTACTGGGTTGAAAGCAAAGATTAAACAACTTGAAAGAACCTATGCTTGCTTTCTTTATTTATTTTATTATTATTATTATTATTATTATTATTATTATTATTA